TCTAGGGTTAATACATTAATAACATAGATCTGCAAAAAAGAAGAGTTGATTATTATTGGATATCTGATGATCATTTCCGAAGTAATTTTCTGTTTCGAATCAAAATAAGCCCTCCGAATTGGACCATCACGTCAGGATTTTCAGATATTTAAGGTTATGTACAAAAAAAATTGCATTTTTGCCTACTTTTGAAGTGATGTGTGCGACGCACAATATTATTTTGCCGTGTTTTATCATTCAGTAGTATCCTTGTCCTACAAAATGCGTTATTGAACGGTGCTGTACTATTTTTACATTAAAAGTTATGGGCATTTTAAAGTGATGTAATAAGTTAACACCTAGCATATGGATCAGTACTGTCAGATATGGGGGACACGTCAATCCGATTTTTGTATTGTATTTAACTTTCATGGAATCTCTTTTGCTTGTGTTCCATAGATGTTGTGCCAGATCGCCTCTTGTGTTGAGCATGTGGCTCATCACGTTGAAACGTTGAAACTTTCTCTGATACTGTCTTTCCATTTCTTTTATATCTTGATGGAAACGATCTCCTTGCTCTTCGTTAACATCACCTAAATTGTCAGAAAATCAATGTAGATGAGAGCGCAAATAGTGCAACGTCACGCTCATGTTACAAATTAATTTTTTGAAGTTTTTTAGCATCACAACGACTAGCACCCTATAATAGGCAGCTCTATTACTGCATAAGAAACTATTGACAACTTCTTTGAAGCTAGTCCAGACTCATCCAGACTCTCCAGGCTTTGATCAAAGTTTTGTAAGAGACCAATTGATAGATAATTGATCACTTTACCAGAAAATACTGCCTTTCTGACAAAATTAGCAATGGCGTAGACAATATTTTAAAAAAGGGCTTTTTATTGGAGAAAATGTTTAATTTTAAAGAAACTTTGACTCGCTATACCTCGTTAAGGAGGCATTTGAGACCCCATGTATATTAAGAGTATTCATCTTAATTTTTCATCAATTATCTACTCTAGAAGTCTGTCAGCGGTTTTTTGAATAACCCTGTATATCCTTCAGAATTCACAGCTACTGTACACTCCTTTTTTTCAAAACAGCAAGCAACTAATCATTTTTTCTTTTGACAATACACATCATATTTGCATTTGTTTTTCACGCAGCGCTTTGCATGCATTCCTCCAAGAAACAAAATCGCTTTTGGTAAGCTAATCGTTCTTATACCACAACCAGTTTATAGGAGTGGAATTCAGCACACAGAGCGATCAGAATGAGTATGCGCAGCTGCATGTTCCTGTTCTGAGCACACAAAAAAAGCGCAGTATTACTAATCCCTTTTTTGTTAGTAACCATAATTCCTCTTCTTTGCGTATTTTTAGTTCCTCTGAAGATGTCCACCCACGAAACACTTGGTTGTCGATCAGAAACAGTACCTATTGAACATTGGAGTAGGTATTTCTCTTTTTTTATCATCTTAGGTTGGCAATGTAACATGTAATATTTTCGTATTGTGCTAAAGCATAAATGGTCAGGGTGATCGATTGGAAAAATGAAGAGGAAGAGTTGTACAAGTGAGTCCGATACCAGCTCGAGGTTCTATTGATTGTTTTGTGTTGGGTCTTTTATGTTCTATAAGCGAGATTGAAAAATCTGATGTTCTATCGAGGATGTTTGCTATTCAGATCGCCAAACAGGATAACTGGCTAGCTCGTGATCCGATTTCTGCTATCTTTAGTTATTAACCACGATCATTTTAAGTGTCAGTAATTCACAACAACACCCAGTAAGACTTCAATGGTTATCTTCAAATACCAGGTTGTTGGATTTGTGGTATTTCGTCATTTGTGGTTTGGCAAAGGCTGGCACTCTCAGAGGGTCTTAGCAATAATGCTATTGTAGTTTATTTCAAGTGATGTAGGGTTGCAGTATCTACTCTGTGAGTTTCCCTTGCATCAATTCTGTGTATTTATTAACTTTGCATTGTAAATTGACTAAAGCATGATAGCACTTGTTACCCAGCCTTCTCACTTCGACGCTACATTTCACGCTAGAACCAAAATACTTAAACTCTTGCATTACTTTGCAGTTTTCAGTGCCCATTGCAAGATTCTCTCCGAAGTCATGAATGTTTATTTATTTGTAGGCCATTGTTGTTGGCTGATCCTATCATTGCTGAATAACTTCCTATCATTTGCGACAAAATTCAGGCGGAGATATAAAAGATATTATTATTTCGCTGGTGTCCAAGAGACACGCCAGCTCTCTAAGATGTTATTTTGTATTTTTATGCAGCATCTCACCATGTCTAACAACTTTCTTGGGATGTTACGGCTATATAAGGCATTATATTCGGATTTGAAGTCGATGAACATATAGAATGTGTTCATGTTATACCCTAAGATCTAGTGTAAAACAAATATTTGGTTTGTTGTTGATCTACCTGTTCAGAATCCACTTTGGTACTCTCCTAGACTCTTTTCATCTTTTATATAGTACATTGGAGAATACTTTATGTGCTGTGCTTTATATATTTCAAATTTAGCGAATCCTCCTTCTTATGGATATGGTAAATGGAGTTGTGTGTAACTGACAGGTCAGCTGAATGGAGCTCCAGGTTTGAGGAATTCCGCAGGAATATGGTCGCTGTCAGGTGAGAAAACATCTTAACTTTTGATGGGCTTCTTCTATCTTTGCTAGGGTTGGTGCTTAATGTTTCGCGTCTACATTCGTAATATTAAGTTCGAGTCCGACACAAATTTCCATTTTTATCCATGCACAATGTGGTTCTGGGTATAAAATCCAGTTTAAGATTTTCCAGCGTCTCCATCTACCTGGTTTCGTCCTCTCGCTTCTTCGTTCCGTTTCTCCTGTTTTCTTGTCATTCTGTATTCTTCGGCATTTCTTCTCGTTCTCTTAGACCATTTTGTTACAGATGGTCAATAGATGATGAAAATGCTCAGAGTAATGTAGTATCATATGCTGTAATATTTTTTGCAGTATCATTAATTGTGTTAAGCTCCATTTTTATCATCTTCCTATGAAGCACTTTAAGTGATTGCTGTTATGGTCATGTCATAACTTATTAAGAACTTTTTATCCAAAAATATTTAGAGGAAATGGTTAAAAAAATGTGTGTTACTAATTGATGACGATAAATTATTCTTTAAGTGTCGTTAGCAATTATCCCGCTCGCTTCTCAAGTCATATCCCGTCCTTTTTATAGCAAATTTTTCGTCGTTTCTTGAATGACAATGGATTATTATTGGGTACACCTTGCAGTCACACTCTGTCGGTCTTCCGTGATGGCTAAAAAACTACATCCTTAAAAGTGTGCACCTTGCGCAAGTCAAGTGATTTAATTTGTACGAAAGAAAACAACGAAGTTGTAAGAAGATAAGTAAATGTTTTTTTCTTGTAACCAATAAATTTTAACACTTTTTAATGATACCCAATGACATCATCGATTCTTTTAAGTAATGATCTAAAAACCTCGGCATAGAGAGGTTAACTGTGACCCCTCGGGAGATTGAATTATTTAAATTTCAATGTTCTGGGTGGACCGTTACGTTTGGGTAGGAGTTCTCCATCCTACGGATTTGCATATCACCGAGATTTACAGTTTGTACTCTTTCTTTTCTTTCAATGAAAGGGGTCTCCCCACCAAGTTTATACGCACAAATCAAATTTAAAACATCGCTATATTAAAACAATTTAAAGTAATTATATAGGAAATAGTTGGTTGGAACACACGTTTTTGTTGAAAATAACTTCAAATTTCGTCTGTGCAAAGTATCATTAAGTTAACTGTCCGGAAATCGACGAACCGTCGCAGACTCTCTGCGCGGCGCCTCTCGCAACTTAACGGAGCGTTAACAGGAACCTCACCTGCTGTGGCGACCGGAAGACGACCGCACTACGTCACCGGAAGAGGGCTGTGTATCACATACACTACTTGCTATGCCAATGTGAAAAATATAAACGCGATCAAGCCGTGTGCATAATTTTTATCTTCAAATTAGAAATGAAAAAAATCTAGGTGAAATGTTGTGTTAAAATGTATAAATAAAAGTTAAGACAACAAAATTTTTTGTTTTTTGATTTCAAATTAAATTGAATAAACTAGAGAAAAATAGTATTACTGAACTGCGCGTTAAAATAAGTAGAATTAGTGAAATTAGTTCAAATATGACGTCATTTCAAGTATATTTATAACAAAATTATCTATTGTTATACAACAAACAAAAGCAACATAAACTTAACATTATGAAACTTATTTTGGTCTAAATTAAAATTGATCTCGTTAAAATTACACAATAACGTTCACACCATCAAAATTAAATTAACAATCCAACCTAAACCTGTGTAACTATCTAATTACATCCGCTAAAACTAGTTTTATTGAAATGTGAATGGCAGGATGTAAATGAGTACCAGGTATTCTTAAGATTTGATTCATCATACTTTTTTAAAAACATATTCTTTTATTACTTATCAACATTAATAATAAATTATACAGTTAGAACGTTTTTTAGCTCTACAAAGATTTTGAACAGGAAAGATAGATGATTTGATTCTCACAACCGAACAAGAAGAGTCGAAGGTCTTCTAATATAAAAAAGCTGCTCTCGTTGCTCGTGCAACATCAATCACGAGTCACGAGAGAAATTATCCAACTAGAAAACGGTCACGTCTCTGTCAAAAAGAGATTTTAAATTGGGTCAAATTTTTAATTTGAAATCAAATTTTTTTTTAAATAAACACAAAAGCCAGTTCTTAAACGAGTGCATTTTAGGGGGAAAACTTACCTTTTTGGCCTTAAGAAACCAGCCCAGATAGCGTGAGAGACAAAAACATCAAGTTAACTCTACTAGAACGGTTTATATGGTTGCAAAACGAACTGGCTCGAAGAGAAAATTAAAAGGGATGTTGTGTGAGTGTCTTTTTTTTGTACAAAAAGTTTCTACTAAAAAAGCTGCTTCTACCAAAAAACAACAGAATTTGAAAAAGCTTCCACTTACCTGGAAATGAAGGATAATAGTCCAAATCAATCCTAAGGTAAGTTTAGGATTTCCATCGACTATATCTTCGGATCTAATGTTAACCAATTTAATTTTTTTACGACGAAGGAAATGTAGGGCTGTATCGATGTTGTGAAGCATATGAAATCTCATTTCTCTGTTTTCGACCGGCTGCAAACAAAATAAAACATATGTTATTTATGGATAAAACAGAAATTGTTAATTAAAATTTATTTTATAAATCAAAATATATATTTTTGGACTCCATCACAGTCTTAAAAGTTAAAACTTAAAAATGTTTTAGTAAAACCCGTTTATGAATAATGATTCTTGGAGTGTTTTTTATCAGAATATTACATTGAAAAAGTCTACAACACTACAATTTCTGAGATGAAAAGTATTTTGTATTAAATTTAGTTATTGTAAGGCGAAGCTTCGGTTTCAGATTGTAACCTAGGGCAATACAAACGTGATGCTTAAAATAAAACATAACCGAAGTAGCGTCTCGGCCACGAGTGACCTCGACCTCAGTTTACAAACCTTAGTCTACAACCGAGGTCGCTTGCAACTAAGGCGCTACAAGTGAGACTTTTAATAAAATATAATCGAGGTAGCACCTCGGCTTCATTACTACAGGGTGACACAGAATAACGGGAATTTTTGAAATGCATGAGCAGGTGGCAGCACTACGAGACAGTGAGCTTGAGCAAGTAAATACTTTGCCATTTTAGTAACCATGGATCAGAGCAACGGGCGGCAACTAAAAATGTTTTATAAAAACAATGATAGTTTTTACAACTGAGGATATCATGGTGCCCCATCAAAACACGCGATAAAAAATTGGATTAATAACTTTGAAGAGACTGGATCTGCCCTAAAGAAGAAACCAACAGGACACTTAAGAAGTGTTCGTACTCCACAGAACATTGAAGTTGTCTTACGGAGCCCACCACGGTCAATTCGAAAACAAGCAACTGCGGTTGAAATGTTCTGGGAGAGTGTTCGCAGAATTCTTCATTTAGATTTGAAATTTTATCCATACAAGCTGCAGATTGTGCAACAGCTGAAGGAAAAGGATTGCCAGTTGTGATTAGAATTCTATCAACAAATGATAACAAACTTAAACAATAACGATGAATTACTAAGTAAGTTGTTCGTTTCAGAGGAATAATCAGAACTACCGTTACTGGACAGATACAAATCCTAATGATGTTTAAGTTCTTTACACACCTAGTAAGGAGTCAGTATGGTGTGCTGTTTCATTACATAGAATCATTGGACATTATTTTTCTGGAAATGAGCAGGGCTCACAGTAATTGTTAATGCGAATCGTTCACAGTTCGAAATTCACTGAGATTCTGCAGCGGCCAAAGAAGAATCTCAACAGTAGATGAAAGCTGAATGAATGCATCAAGAATGCATTCGTAGAGGAGTACGGCATCTAATTGATATAATTTAAAAAAAAATGATAAATTCCATTAATGTTTCTTAAATAGCAAATTTTAAGCTCCTCGAACCGGCGTTCTAGAAGGAGGTTCTTGAATCGGCAAATTTTTAGGGAGATTCTTAAAAAAATTGTCATTTAAAATAAAACATAACCAAGGTAGCTCCTCGGCTTCATTGCTACAACTAGTAGAGATAGTGCACCGTGCACTTGTCATACAAATAGCTTTGCACGAAGCGAAGCTTTGTATTTCGATAACCACCGAGGCACTACAAACGACGTCCTTAATGTAAAACGTAACCTAAGTAGCGCCTCGGCCGCAAGCGACCTCGGCTTCATTACACTAAGCGGTGGAAATAGCGCATCATGAACTTGTCACACAAATAACTTTATACATAGCCTAGGTTCACATCCAAATGACAACCGAGGTCGCTTGTGGCCAAAGTACTACAAACAAGATTCATGAAATAAAACGTAACCCAAGTAGTGCCTCGGCTGCAAGCGACCTCGGCTTTATTATTACAACCGGTAGAGATACCGCATCGTAATCTTGTCAAGCAACTTATTATATTATTGTACAAGTGAGGTTTCAAATTCAGATTACAACATAGGTCGCTTGTGGCCAAAGCACTACAATCGAGGTTCTTAAAAATAAAACTTAATAGAGGTAGTGCCTCGGTCGCAAGCGACCTTGGCTTTATTTTTACAATCGGTGTAAAGAGCGAAGCTTCGAATTTAAATTGTAACAGAGGTCGCTTACGGTTAAGACACTACATCCGAGATGCTTAAAAATAAAACCTTGATCGAAGTAATGCCTCGGCTGCAAGTGACCACGTCTTGATTATTATAACCGGTGAAAATAGTGCATCACACAGTGGTTAATTTCACGAATTTAGGAAGACAAAATTCACACCTCAAAAAACCAACAAGCTACGGCGATGAAATTTTGTATTGTAGCTATTAGCAACAAAATCGAAGATTTGTATCAAGTTTGAGTCATATTCGTCAACCGGAAGTGGTACTTTATTTGAAACCATATTGAACTTGTTCTATATAATCTTGCTGTTTAAAGAGAGTTAAACAAATGAAATATTGCATAAGCGATTAAAATTATGAGAAACATTCATATCGTAAATTTCCCTCGAACCGAAAGTCGTCCTTTATCTGAACACCATTCATCAGTTTTTATACAGTGTGTCTGTAAAGTAGCAGATATAGGCGATAATATAATTATAACTGGTTTATCGAAAAATTCCTGAAACGGGTCTAAAGATTTAAATTTTTTGGTGTAGATTTCAATCTTTTTCCGCCATTTTTAAACGAGTTATGACGTCATCGATATATTTTTTCAAATGGCATCTTCCATTTGTATTGCGGAATATGAAAGAGGATTCTTTTTTGAATCTAGTACATTCAATATTAGTATTGGTCACTTGAGAAAATTTTGAGAAAAATTACTTTGAAGTTTTACCACTTCAAATTTGTTGGCATGATAATAATGGCAGTAGCCATGAGTAACAATGGTAACCAATTATTTTAAACAAATCCCTGAGTGTCAAAAACTGATTTAATAAAAAGCTTCTTAAAGTGTGGTTTTGCGGATATTGTGTGTGCGACTTTCTTGAGTAATTTGGATTTTGGGTAGCCCAATACCGACAATTTTGACTGTTTACTTGTCCACTCAATGTAAATGTTCCTTCGTCGGAAAGAATTATGCTTTTGACAAAGTCTTCGTCATCGTTACAAAAACTACAATTCATTGTTCATGAATGAGGTTTACTTCATGGGAATGATATTTTGCGGGGTTTAAAATTTTGTGAACCGTTGATTTACTAATGTCCAAATTAGACCCAAAACTCCTTACAGTAACATGAGGGTTTTCTTGCCCAGCCAAAACATTTGGTAGGCCAGACTTCGAGAAACGCTTCGACAGATGACCATGCTTTTTAAATTTAGTCACAGCTAGGCTCACCATAACTTGGCTAATGAGTTGGCCATCAAGATATGTTGTACTAAAGAGGTCAACTACTTACTAAGTCAGTTTTTGACAGTTTTAGAGATTTTTCCATAAACCGTTTATAAATTATCAAATAACATTTAACATAAAAAAAGAAAACTGGATGCTCAGTAAACAATTTCAAAATTTTGACAGGTTAATAAAGTCATTACCTGAAAAAACACTTTAGATATTTTATAACGGATTATAGGTAATTTTATAAAAAAAATAGTAATTTCTGAGAAAAGCAATAAAATAAATTAGGGGGGGAAATTTAATATCGCGCATAAATTCTATTGAAATTATAAATTTAAAGTTTGTATCCGCGTTTGTGACATCGTGAATATTTTATTTCATCCACTCTACTTGAGGTATGAAACTTCTGCTTTTCTTTCGAAACCTGAAAACATTGAGATTTAATCCTGAATTTACGTCACTATGTTACCTCATTTTTGTCACATTTCTCATTTGACAGTCAATATTTACTAAAGTCAGTGGAAGTAAGTAAAGTCTTATATACCATCTTATAGCTAATACTTCAGGTTACAAAATAAAAGAAGAATTGTAATGATTCATTACGAACCGTGCAAGAAAAATCAAATAGAAATGTTAATATGTGATGTTAATTTTTTAAATTTAAGAACTAAAGCCTAATGAAATAAATAGACGTACTTATACATACTAACTTTATTACAAATACAGTTAAAAGTATAGACTATCACTACACAGGGGGTTTCCGAAATGTTTATAACCGCAAGGGAACTGTTTAAAAATGTCCAATAGCGGATTCATGAATTCACGGAAAAAGTTTATTTCTCTTTCCGTGTCGAATCTATTGGTGAGTACAATGTGATTTACGACCTTCGAAGGCGTTTCTCTAAGCTTTTGTTCAATTGCTATTGGACGAATTTTATACAGTTCCCGTGCGGTTATTATAAACATTTTGGAAAAATTTTATTAGAAAGATCGCTTTAGAATAATGTATCCCACATCCTATATTATCGGCCAGTCATGCAGTGAACCAGATACCATATTATTATACCACAAAAAATGACCAATTTTAGTATTTTGTCCTCCTAAATTTGAGAAATTGACCACTGTGCATCGTAATTTTGTCACGTAACTGATTATTATACACAGCGAGGCTTCAGATTCAGAACAGAGGCAGCGACCCAGCCACAAGCGACCTCCTTAATTCTTCTTTTATAAATTATGTTTGTCTGAACATTAATTTTTGTGTTCAGAACCAAAGCAATTCCTCTTACTGAGTTTTGTATGAGTGGCACCTGAGTGTACCAGACTTAAAAAGTATTCCAATTTATAGCATTCAAAAATATGTTTTTTGGAAATTTATTTTTTATAAACTAAAAACTTTTTGTCAATAACTTAAAAAATAAACGTATATATTTATAAAATATGAAATCTGAACAAATTAACTGTTAACATTTCACGGAAAGGATGAATTTATTTTTGAGAAAAATCATTTGAAGTTGATGAACCAGAATGACCTCTTAATATCGACATGTTTTAATATTCTTTGGTAACATTTAAACACCTACTCTTTGCTATGGTTCACGAAATACCATAAACGTTCTGGTAATTTTCATGTTATTATATTTAACCTTAGTTTTAATTTGACCATATTTATATTTTCCTTCTTTTAGTTGTTATTATTAAAGTATAGCGTAATTATTTTCTTTCCCTTTAAGGTAAATATTATTGTGTAACAGAACAATTTTTTTATTACTATAAAGAATATTATTAAAATTTATGTTCTATTGTTCTATTTGAATTTCTTTAACATGTAATTTTCACCTCTTATATATACAACCCAACTTACTCATACACATTAAAATAAATTTATATCTGCAACCCACTTAACACGTGTATACTTTGTGTTGCCTACCTATTAGGTGTTATTATTTAAGATTTTACATCAAACTTAAACCGGATGTAATGTCAAGGCCATAATATGAAAATGATTTAGATTCTCTTTCTAACGGAACGTTATAGAATACAGAACGAATAAATTTGATATTGATACCAAATTATTTACGACCTTTTCAAGGTAATAAAAAAATTCGTTTTCACATAATGACCTAAATCCGAAAGGATTTGAGTTGTTTCTCGCATTAATACTCCGCGGTAGACACGATGTCGGATAAGTTGGCACATGTACTTATGTATTATTTATAAGTTTTAGTCCGGTTTAGTATGTCAATACAGTGGAAAGCGGGTTTCGAGTTTTTAATGCTGATATTTATATCCACATCTTATTATTTTTTTTCTGCAATTTAAAAATGAATTAAAATTGTTGATAAATAAGTAATGATGTCATTTGTATTATTAACTTTACATATACGAGACATTGCCAAGAATTTGTACAATAAGACATTATCTTATTTAAAATTTTAAAAGTATATTTATATATTAAACTTAGGTATAAATTATACTTACAAGTTTTTCGCCAGTTAAAACTTCCAGTAACGAAATCAGATTGCGACCATCCCTTAAATCTTGAAAAAGATCTCCGATCTGTTTGTTCATCTGCAAATAAAAAGGAAATAAATCCAACTTAACAACAAAACATTTCTAAATCGAAATTAAACGCATGCAATAAAATGAAACTTCACGATTTAACAGGCAATACCATAAGTAACTTGCAAGAACTAAATATAAATAAACCCAAGAAAGGGTTTTTACTTTCTATTCTACACACACTCAAAAGAAAAAAATAAGACAAAAACAAAAAAAAAATAGTTAAATCGACGACGGTTGAATACCGCAATGCATCACACCATTCTATTTGATGTTATTTTTGGAACTCGAAGATTTACGCTCTACGTTCATACATCACGCAGGAAATAAATTTATTAAGAGTTATCGTGAAGATGGCTTTCAAGACGAAACATAAACGCATTTATTACGTTTAATTGTTATAATTTTGAAAAATACTTAGAATTACAGATTCTCTTGGACAAGATTACAACTTCATTTAAGAACCACGAAGCATAAATGAAATTTAATGCAAATTACAAACACATAATACTCAACACTAGGAGTTGTATTGATGCAAATTTAATTGAGATATGATATAGTCTTAACACAGGTTTGATAAAGACTTGTTTCTGTATAATCTTGACTTGATAGAAATAATATGAAAGCTATCTACAGATGTAGATACAGTTTTGATACAGACCCGTTACATATTTAATGCAATTTGATGCAGACTTTACTTGACAGAAACGTATTGTAGACTTATGTAGAGGGGATGTACACTTTTAAAGAAGTTTCTTGGTGAGATGTTGAAAAGACTTCCTGCAGGCATATTACAGAGCTAAATTAGATTGTTGTTATAATGGATGTATATACTGTATGTAGATTATATGTATGTGGGTTTGAGAGAGTCTTGATACACTTTAGGATGCAGTATTAGAGCAGATCTGATACACATGTGATGCAATTCTGATGCAGCTTTAATGGAATCCTGACTATGTATGAATTTGGCTGAACATAAACAGGTGTAGAGTTAAAGCAGAGATGTTGAACAGATTATAGAGAGTTATTTAACATATGATAGAGATGATCATTTAGATCAATGTCTCGTTGCAGATTTAAAATCAAGAAGTTTAGTTTCAAGCAGAATAGTCGTGATGATGCATTTCTAAATGCAGTATTAATGCAGAATTAGCTTTTTACAAGCTAGCCTTGATACAAACTTGATGCAGAACATGATGAAGCCAAACATCTAGCAATATCAATATTCCCTTGTCTATTAAACTTATAAAATGGAATAAGTTAGCCTTTGTAACACCAGTTGAGAGGTTACCATTAGAGAAAGTAGCCCTAATATCTTTACATTACAAGATGTTCATTCAATTTAGAATTACCTTTGCTCCATCTTTCAAAGGGGACTAATTACTACAAATTCTCTTTATAATCTCTTCGCTTATAATAATATAAACCAGAAAGCATAAATGAGATTCAATGCAGCTTACAAATACATGATACTCAATACTAGGTGTTGTATTGGTGCAAATCCAATTGAGATATGATATAGTCTTAACACAGGTGTGATAAAGACTTGTTTCTGTATAGTCTTGACTTGATAGAAATAAAATGAAAACTGGATGCAGAAATGATGTAGACTTAATACATGCTTAAAATATCTAGATGTAGATATAGTTTTGATGCAAACCAGATACATATTTAATGCAATTTGATGCAAACTTGACTTGACAGAAACGTAGACTTATGTAGAGATGATGTACACTTTAAAGAAGTTGTGTTGATGAGAAGTTAATGTAGAGACTTCGTGCAGGCATGTTACAGTGTAAAATCAGAAGATTTCAAAAACTTGATGCATGGACTGTATGTATATGTTATATGTGAGGTTGTTGCAAAAATTTAAATTCAAGGAGTGTTAACACATTAGTTCTTATGTAAAAGAACAAAGGAGATTGGTTTCAACACTTAATTGATTTCTTCAATGTTACATTAAATCTTCGTTACGCACCTGACAATAAAGTCAGACAAAAGACGATTATAATATATCGGTATAACAAAAAATCTTGTAGAATCTATACCAAGTGGACTAGTCACTTGAAAGAAATGATGAAAGAGAAATGAATCTTGCGTCAAAAAAGCTGATTCTGGAATGAGAAGTTCTCAAACATTGAAGGCACAAGAATATCCGGTTATGGAAAATACTTTATACTCTTGGTTTTTTCAAAAACTTGTTAAAAGTAGATTTGCATGGGAGATACGAAGTCTAGAACTTTTATTTACAGCGGCTCATACACTCAATCTATGTACAAGTTAAACATGCAAAGACTTTAACATGCAAAGACTTCAACATGCAAGTACCCATCGTTATATATAAACAGTCAGTGAGATGCAGACTTGCTCTAGACAATAAAGTAATAAACCAAGCCACGTCAATTGACTATTTAGACATACAAATCACCTCATATCAAAATGGAATAAAGGAAGTAAAAGACTAAACAAATAAAGCCAGCCGAATGTCAGGCTAATATACAAAAGACGAGAAGGCGAAAGAAGCAGACAACAAAAATACCGAAAAGTGTTAAGATCCGGAAAAAGAAACAACGGTATAAGACATGAACGTGAGATGGAAGACATAATCGGATAAGGACATAAACGTAGAAGAGGTTGAAATGATCACGTGAAGAGCATGGCCGGATAGAGATTAGATTTCAAAAGAGATGGATAGAATCATGGACATCAACATCTCAAGAGAACTGATGTGTTAGAAATTACAGGGCTAAGGCCTATAAAAGCCCTCGGAGAGAATAATAAAATCATCATGGAAAAAGTTATGACCAAGAAGTTGTTATCAATAACAATGAAGTAGAAACTGAATGGGACTTACAATTAGAAGATTCTTGTCTCACTTGAACTTATAAGATGGCATTTACTATGATTGGGGCTTCGAATAGTGTACCTGTGGAAATAATAAAATCGTCATGGCAGTTATGACCAAGAAGTTGTTATCAATAACAATGAAGTAGAAACTGAATGGGACTTAGAAGCCGACTTCTCAATTGCAGAGTTGAAGAATGCGATAAAATCAAGAAGCAAACTTCACATAGATATTGAAGAGTGGTTGGAGGAAAAGAAGGTGGTGATAGAGAATGAACCAATAAATGAAGCGGTGAGTACTGACTGAAGCTAATTGGCACCATTGAGAGAAAAATACTGCGCATCTACTCAGCATATAGAGAGCCTGATGTTGTTGCCTTCATAAAAATCAGTCGCCTGCGCTGGATTGGACACATCCAGAGAATGGAGAATGGACGATGACACCCGAAGAGAATATCAAAATTTATATCAAACTCCCGTTGGAACAAGATATAGGGGGCAATCTAAGACAACATATCTGGACCAGGTGGAGGACGACATCAATCCCTTGGCATCGTCAATTCGGGAACGATGTCTTGTAACAGATCGGAATAGGGGTTGTCGGGCCATTGATGATGGCCATGATGAATGTAGAAGAGGTTGCCTCCAACCTTTGAATTAACTCTGTGAAATCTGAAAATACTTTAAAGGTAGTATCATATAGAGGATCTTACTTTTGTGTGATGTTATGCAACAATTTATCTCCTGTTAATACCAGAACAATGTCCAATTCGCGATGAATAATTCAGAGATATTTCAAAGTAGAATAAAGGAAGTAAAAGACCAAGCAAATAAAGCCAGCCGTATATCAGGTGCACTTCGGAGAACATCATCTGGGATTACACCTACATGAATTATAAGGTGAAAGTAAGAATATACAAAACCTGTGTTAAACCCATACTAACACTATAGAAACAAGAGCAGACAACAAAAAACGAATAGTATTAAGATACAGAAAAAGAAACACAGGTATAAGACATGAATCAGATGAGGACGTAAACGTATAAGAGCTTGGAATGATCACGTGGGACGAATGACCGAAGAGATTAGTAAAAATCGCGCAGTTGGCAGACCACGGACAGGACAACCTCTGGGAAAACCTCCAAAGATATGTATAGAATCATGGACATCAATCAATGTCATCAATCATTTCACCTCTTCATTGTTTGAAGCTATAGATCAAAATATGATCTACTAATAGCAAAAAAATTCCTGGTGGATACAGTTTTGGGAGAAATGATGTCACAAAAAACTTTAAAAGACTTGAACTTATAAGATGGCATTTACTATGATTGGGGTTTCGAATAGTGTACCTGTGGGAATAATAAAATCATACTACTAAAGTATTAAATCAGATGGTGGTAAAATATTGAGCCATATACAGGATAATTCTCAACTTATTCACATAAACTTTGGGGTTTACTCCTCATGACAAATAATGACTAATACGTGAAAAAATTATACCAAACGTTTTTTAGTTTTCTAAATATCTGAGATATTTAATACTTTCAAATCAGGAATACATCATAGAAAGTGTTGGAAGTTATTTCCCACATTTTCTATCCATTTCTTGAGGATTGAGGTTGGGCGACCGAGGTGGCTAGGCCATTGGACCATCTCGAGCTATCCATCTTCTGGGAAACACATTATCAAGATGTTGCCGCATATATCGGATATCTAGAAAACTAAAAAAATTTTACCACAACTTTTTTCACCTATTAGTCATTTATAGAGATTTTGAAATGAATTTATAGATTTCTTTTCACCTATAGTCATAGATGTGGAGTGCTGGAAAATGGAGAGTAGTGCAGAAGATATAATTTCGTGGTCTACTCAACATACAGAGAGCATAATGTTGTTGCCTTTACGAAGATCAGTCCCCTGTGCTAGATGAAACACCCCAAAAGAATAAGAACAAACTCCCGTTAGAACAAAGCATAGGGGGCAACCCAAGACAAGATATCTGGACTAGGTGGAGGACGACACCAAACTCTTCAGAATGGCAAAATATTCTGGAACAGGTCAAGACCCATAAAGGGTTGATGATGAATGTAGAAGAGGTTGCCTTCAACCTTCGAACCAACTCTGAAATTTCAAAATGCTTTAAAGGTGTAACAATTTATCGCCTGTGAGTACCAGAACAATATTCAATTCGCAATGAATAAAGAACCTACTTAGCGGATATTGCAATGATATACAAATATAATATTAAAAATCAATGTATTAATACGGGGTGATTTTTTGAAAACGATCCGCCTGAGATATTTCAGAAACCAAAAGGAAATTGAAAACACTTATATTTCAAGGAGGAAACGGTTTGACCTATGATTCACACTTTTGACGTTTACCCTGCGCCCTCACGAATACCTCCCCAATGGTACATATGATGTTTTAAATTGGATGGTGATCCGATAGCAGCTTGGGGTTCTATTGATTGTTTTGTGTTGGCTCTTTTATATTCTACAAGCAAGATTAAAGAATCTGATGTTTCTATCTAGGATGTTTGCTATTTAGATCGCCAAACAGAATAATTGATTAGCTCGTGATCCGATTTCTGCTATCTTTAGTTATTAACCACGACCATTTTAAGTATCAGTAAGTCACAACAACACCTCACTTTGTTTCTCCAGCTGTGTTGCATAAAAATAAATCGGCCAGTATCATTCAGTAATACTTCAATGGTTATCTTCAAATACCAAATTGTTGGTTTTGTGGTTTGGTAGAGGCTGGCACTCTCAGAGGGTCTTAGCAATAATGCTATTGTAGTTTATTTCAAGTGATGTAGGGTTGTAGTATCTACTCTGTAGGGTTCCCTTGCATCAATTCTGTGTATTTATTAACTTTGCGTTGTAAATTTACTAAAGCACGATGGTAGTTGTCACCCAGCACGACCTGTCTTCTCAACGCTACATTTCACGCTAGAACCAAAATACTTAAACTCCCGCATTACTTTGTAATTTTCAGTGCCCATTGCAAGGCCAGTGTTGTTGGCTGATCCTATCAGTGTTGTATAACTTCCTACCATTTGCGACAAAATTCCGTTGGTGTCCAAGACCTTTTTTTTGGACATTTTCAATTTCCTTTTGGTTTCTGAAATATCCCAGGCGGATCGTTTTAAAAAAATCACCCTGTATATCAAATAATACGTATAAGATGTCTAATGACTTTGTTGTGGCCGTTGTAACAACGATTATTATTAGTACTATCATCTTGAAAGACAGATTTAGGGAAACAGAACCTAATATAAACCGTCTGCAGCAATAACGTACTGTACTAATTACGTCGACGCATGCCAAGAAATTCAACGACGCCGCCATAGACTTTCGTACGTAAACAGACCCACGTCTGGTGTATTTGTAGTAAAATCGTAAAACTAAAAAGTTACAAAAGCAAAACACTCAAAAAAAAAAAACAAAATAAAAGTAAAAACGAGCATACTATCTAACATATACACTTACTGACGTAGGACAACATTCTGAACTGTTCGTTGAAACACACACGTGCAAACACGTGTAATTCTGCAAAATTTAGAAAAACTTTTCTTGTTATAAATGAAAGTTGAAAGCATTTTATGTAAATTTTTTTATGGGCTTTCTCTCGCTTGAACAACATTTTCTAACACGACTTTTTACTTTACTTTTTTTTGTACACATATTGTCTAAATACGTATTCGATTCTTTTTGATTTCGAAAAATTGTGTTTACATTCGAAAATCTTTAAAATACCATGAAATTATCTTTCAGATAAAAAAAAAAGACAAGTTGTAAAAGCAGTGCCGAAAAAGCGTCGAACGAGAAAAACGGCATTGTTTCGTTCAGCAATCCAAAAAAAATATTCAGGTCAATCTGAACAAGACCCGATATCGTGATTGTAAATTCAACACTTTCCCTTGACAATTGATGGTCGCTGTTGAAGAAGAAAGGACACCCACGGCAGCGGCACCATCTCAACCCGACAAACAAACATTTATTACGAAATCGGGCACACGAAACAATGCTGAAGCTGATTTCTTTCAGAAAGAAGAAAAAAGGTGCGTTTAAACACGAAAATTTAATCCAAACATAAATATTGAGCCAAATTGAGTCAAAAAAGTCTTAAAGTTTTGTTGTTTCAACATAAATTTTACCTACCTTTACGTATCTCCAATGCTTCGCATGAAAAGAATAAATAAGTAAATACAAATAATGTCGTAACATATACAATAATGTCGTAAGTGATATCTTAAATAAATAATAAAAATTGCGTAAAACTCTTCGTTTTCATGTCAAAACCAACTTACAAAGAGCGATAATTATAACGGGAACTGAGAAAGAGAGATAATGTTAGAAGGAAATCTTTTACGAGAAATAAACCCTTTTTGCGTCCATTTTCGTTTAAAATTATAGTGGATGCCGTTACTGTCGCGACGATTTACTCCTATTTTCAACCGTTGTTTTGTAAACAAGACGTCGAAACCGCTTTGATTCATACGAAATGATTTACTTCAAATGAACAGCGTGAAAGTTTACGACGCGACCAAGAGATCTCTATCGGATGTCACTTCATGATGAGAAATCCAATTAAGTTTTAGCGGAAAATGGGCAGGTTAGTAAATTAAGAGAGATAAATTATAGTGATACGAACGAATTTGAAGAACCGAGCTTAAAGACAAGCCTAAAGTATCCACATAACCTTAATGAACGAGGAGAATGGACAAGGGAAACGCGCACGCCTCCTAATTCACACATTATCCTCGTTTCAGCATCGTCCCACGGATGTGTATTCTTCTTTTTTTCAACAACCGTGACCTTTTACGAGATTGCACACAAGAATCTATAAACTTCCTGAGATTAACAGTTTTAAACTATATTTGAAAAGAAATTGTTACTAAAAAGATTAAATAATTAACATCCAGTTACATATCAATCTTCTTTATTTCTTTACTTTACTTCAAGAGTGTAAAAACTTTTAATTGCATGTGAACAAAGTTGCATTTAAAGCTTCAACCACAAACATCCTATGATTGCTCTTCATATTTAATCATAGGTGAACTGGTTGAAATGATTGCTGGAAATAAATATAAACACGTCATTCAATTCAAGTTGCTACATGGGTGTTCCCACACCATGTCAAATTGGATTAAACAGAGTAACAGAAAAGTTTCCTCCATATTCATAATCTAAAAAATTTAAATATTGATTCAAATTTTAACCTTGCTGATAAGATTTAAACGTCTCGGCTGAAAGAAGTGTACTGTTCGGAAGGTCAGACTTTTTATGATTTAATAAAAAAAAATATTTTTCGGCTACTCACAAAATAGAATTTTTTAATTCGGAGGAGTGTTTTCATCAAATTGAAGCGCCAAAAAAAAGAGTTGCTATTGGTCAGTTTTAAGCAAAAATTACACTAGGAAAATTCGAGATGTTGCCGGCCACCTAGAAAGTTATAAATATTCGGGTTTAGCCGCACGTCTAGTGTTAGTTCTAGTTTTTGTGCAATAAAAATATACAACATAGTAATATCTTATGCTAATCAACGCTAACTACCACTGCCACTAGAACTAACACTAGACCGAGAATTTATTATTTTTTATTAAAAAAATTTTTGATCTTTACAACATTCAAATCAAAGATACATGTGCATTAAGTTATGAGCTTGAGGAGCTTTCATACAGCGCCAAATTATTTATTATATCAACAAAACATTGGAATCGCTTACTATCCGTGCCAAAAGTCAAGGCGGTAAGCCAAAATTGCGGTAAAGTCACATATGCGAATTTTCTGCTTATCGCAAGTTAAATGAAAAGTAGACTGGACGTCGCGCCTTTATTTCTTTATGTAGGTAAAATTAAGGCACGACGTCTTGTATGGAACACAAACCAGCCAGATTGTAGAGAACCTTCCTCTTTACGCAAGGCTTTTTTCTTTGTAATTTATAATCCCTTTAAATCGTTAGTTAGGAAGACATAACCTTGATAAACTGATAACGGGATCCGACAAATACAATTATTTGACATACAGTGTAATTCCCCTAAGTCGAATCACTAACGGAGCGGAAGAAAAGTTCGAGTTATGGAGAATTCGAGTCAAAGAAAAATTAGTCGAATTTCAGCGCAAAAGAAAAAAATTAGAAATGTACTTTTTTAAAACAGAAACCTTAATACTATTGTAAGTAAAAAATAAATCTAGTGATAGTGGTAGTGTAAAACTAGAACTAACACTAGACCTAGAACTAGAACCATTCGGGTTTAGCCGCACGTCTCTCAAGACGGCTAAACCCGAACCATTCTAGTTCTAGGTCTTGTGTTAGTTCTAGTGATAGTGCTAGTACAATACTAGAACTAACACGAGACCGAGAATTAGAAACATTCGGATTTAGCCGTACGTCTCTCAACACGGCTAAACTCGAATGATTCTAGTTCTAGGTCTTGTATTAGTTCTAGTGATAGTGTTAATGTAAAACTAGAACTAACACTAGACCGAGAACTAGAAACATTCGGGTTTAGCCGCACGTCTCTCAAGACGCACTAGTTTTAGTTTCTAGTTTTACACATTGTTGTTTTGTAGACCACTACGGGTTGCTTGCCCGCACTCTACGTCACACTATCTGCCACGCCCAGTTAACTGTCATTGAGTTCTATACGTTTGCTGTGCTTTTAGAGGTTATATGATAAACATTAATACATCTAAAAAAATTAAACTTCAAAAATAATATGAATACGTCCATGATATACGATAAAACCTCAAAAATACACAGCAAACGCATAGAACACAATAACGTGTCACAACAATGGATGTAGCAGTCCTGTTAGATTCTACTGTCCTTGGGTTGATGAGGCAGTAATTAAATTTTTTTTTATGTAGATATAAGTAGGAGAATTTAACTTTGTTAGGATTTTTTTGCAACATGATGGTGTCAAGGAACGGTGTTTGTTCCGTTGTTTAGGATTAACAAGTATTCATCCTCGCGGATCAGAGCATTTTCGGGTATATCAGCCAGGGTGGCGAAAGCAAATTTATACCAATCGGCTATCATGGTTTTATTGACAGAGCAGAAAAAGGCATCTTTCGAGAATGAGAATACACGCTGAAGATAATCCCAGTGGATGTTAATAACTTCTTTCGGGGTCTTCTGTTTTATTTAAACACGATTTTATATTTATGAATAACCTAATAACTAGTAATCTCCTATATGTAATGAAGGAAGACTGGAGGATGTGCAGACCAGGTACTGGCGGTGCGTGTTGGGGTTGGCTAGAGAGACACAGGGAAGAAATGAAGGTAGATAAGGTGAGGGTGGAGGCGGGTAATCGAGCGGTGCATTTTGAGGAGAGAGTGGAAGGTAGAGGGCATTGTAAATTCTTGGGGGAGTGCTACAGACAGATTAAAGCAAGTAAGGGGCGTTATGGGCAGCGAGAAAGGGAGGAATACTACAAAAGGGTGGGATATTCAACGGAAGAAGTAAACAGGAAAAGAAAAGAGGGGATTGAGATGTGGCAACAACTGGAGAGCAGGGACAGGGAAGAAAGTAGGTACAACCCAAAGTATGCCGAAATTGTAGCGGAAGGGCTACCAAAGTATCTGATGATGAAGGGAGGAGATTGGTAGCCAGGTTTAGATGTGGCAATGAAGAAAGGGTCAATAGATACTGGATGGAGAATGAGGAGAAGAGGTGCAGACTATGTGGAGAAGGTTAGAAGTGTTTACAGCATCTGCTCTGGTGGGGTGCAATGAGTTGAAGTAAAAAGGAGATGGATTGTAGGCAGATGCTTGAGGAGAGGACGAAGCGAAGGAGATATTTGGCGGAGGTGGTGGCAGCGAGGAGACGTAGAGTGACAGGGAGAGGCTGGTTAAAGGGATAAGCGTTATATAAGTTGTAAGTATTGTACTTAATATAAATTGTTATCTTCTGGGAAAACAATAAATTACACGACTCTACAACAAAATTTTTGTTCTTTGTCCTAAAGTTTATTTTATGATTTTCTGATTAATTATGAACAAAAACGAAAAGAAAATACCTTTTTTTGGTATAAAGTTTGCTTTTGTAATAGTATAAATGCAAAACCTATCGAATATCCTGACCTTGAATCTTCATCTGCTCCAGTCGCACACGATCTGACACGACCAGTACCTGAGTCACCGCAGAAAAGTAGCTTATTTCTTAGTTCTCATAGAAGTAATTCCGATAAGGAGTTTTTACCGACACCAGAACAACCAAAACATCATTTCATCACTACAGAAGATTTTAATGATTTGATTACAGATTTAAATTTGCCAAAAAGTAAAGCAGAGCTTTTAGGCTCTCGCTTAAAGCAGTGGAATGATGTTAATATCGCGAATCAGCGGACTAGGGATGAAACATTCTCAACATTTCAAAAGAAGATTATTACACAACGGAAATAAATTCCCATCTCTTCCAATCGCTCAATCAGTACATCTTAAAGAAAATTATGAAAGTGTAAAAATTTTGCTTGAACGTGTAAAGTATCGTGAGTATAACTGGCAGCTGATTGGAGATTTTAAAATGGTGGGATTTTTGATGGGACTTCAAAGCGGATATACAAAGTATCCGTGTTATTTGTGCTTATGGGATAGCAGAGCGGATGCTAAGCATTATACTCAACGGTCATGGCCTGTAAGAACAGAACTTTGTGTCGGAAAAGAAAACGTAAAATTTGAGCCAATTGTTGAAGCGGAAAAAGTGTTAATGCCGCCTCTGCACATTAAGTTAGGGTTGATGAAACAGTTTGTTAAAAAACTGGATCAAACCTTAGAAGCTTTTGAGAAAATTTTTTCCAAAGTTATCAGAAGCAAAGGTTAAAGCTGGGGTTTTTGTTGGTCAGCAAATCAGACAGATTTTCGCCGATGAAAAATTTCCAACGTTGTTGAATCGTACTCAAAAAGCTAGTTGGAGCAGTTTTAAAGCAGTTGTTTCTGGATTTTTAGGAAATAACAAAGCTGAAAACTACAAAAAACTAGTTGAAAATATGCTAAAAAATTTTGAGGCCATGGGCTGCAGCATGTCATTAAAAGTACATATGCTGCATGCTCATTTAGATAAATTCAAAAACAATATGGGAGCGTATTCAGAAGAGCAAGGAATTGACTAAGCTAAAGCTAAAGAATTGAAATTTAATGCTTTAAAGTCAAAGTCAAATTTTGTGTTGACC